TGCAGACACCCCCTGGTTTTTACCCTGGCTTTCAACCGTCCTGTTCCAGTGAACGGACATGACAGCTGACTTTCGGCTAATTGCTGTTCTCATAACCGTCTTTTGAACTCAGGTGCGATGCAAGCATTTATTACCACGCGACATGCAATTAATACAATTGGTCTCAGTCAGCTTTGAAGTAACACTCACAAGAGCAAAGGTATTGAACAAACCCTGTGCTTTTGTGATTGACCCAACACATCACAGTTTTTATGGTACTATACAGGAGTCATGTGCGAAGGTTGGCACACTGCCCCTCCTTCAGAAGCAATCCATAAATTGAATATATTTCGCTGGGTGGTTTTCGGCGGGTTGAGGGCGTCACATTGTTTTTCTTTTGCATCTGATGAAGTTCACTTCATTTCATTCAGTAATTTTCCTTGAAACTGGTTACTTCCGCAGCTGTCTTCCTTATTTCCTTGTGCTCCAGTTTCTTTGAGACAATTCCCCATCCGGAAGCAGCCCCCAACGTAGTAGATGCACGTGTTCTTTTGCTTGCAGATCGAACTCAGCAACTCATTTAATCAGTTTTAATTCTTTTAGGCGAAGGTTACCATGTACGTAAGAGCCAGGAAGCAAGGAACAGGTTGTGACTCCAAAAGAACGTTCCGACCTACAACTTCCTGATGAAAACGAAGAATCGTACGTTCCCACCACGGGTGGCTCAGATGAGCTATGGGAGCACTCTCCCCTTTGGTCGCCTGATCTGTTGTTGATAGATACCCCGGACGAATTCCCCTGCGTTCTGCGAGAGGTTTTTCTTTCTGAGAAAATTGCGAGTGTTTTGTTGGTAGTGTGGAAATTTTTAAGTTTCGATTCAGGATTGTTTCCGCAGCCAGTCTAAGCTAAATGATCGAGAAAGGTTAATTCATATTTGTTGGGAACCCGAGGTCCTCCGGATTGGAGTATGGACACTGGCATTCGCCTACGCATGACTGATCGATAATATGCTTGACTTTTACTTAAACCAGATCCAGTAGCAACAGTGCATTCTTGTGTCACCTGATCTGATTAATGACAGGCTCGTTGATTGAGTGTAGCTTCTGCTCTTTTGGCTTCTTCACGGTTATAATGGCTGTGCAATCGAACCACCATTTAAGGATTTCTAAGCGGCATATCCAGAACTATTTTGCGTTTTAACAGCATCAAAGGTGCGTTTCTTACCTGCAATTTTGTGCCATCATTCTTCACCAGCACCAACCGATCAATCGCTTGTTCGAATTCCCCCAGAGATATGCACTTCTGACAAGGATGAAACAGCTGCTAGGATCGTCAACGCAGATATATGGACGAACTTTTGAATGCGTTGTACAAACACGTCGTCGCAGGACTTAATATCTGAAGGCGTAAATTGAATCTTTCCCCATTTTCCTACACGTATCCAGCCCCGTTGACTTGGTGACACGGTGGTTTAAGTTTGCTGTTTTCCATCGCTTCCTGATTCGAACCCCGGCGGACGCGGTGCTGATGTTGGTCATCATGGTTGAGTGAAATTCGACGACAAACTTGCTTTCTAAATGGCTCACCGCTATCGGTTCAACAAACAGAAAGCAAACGTGATAATTCAGGTTCGTCCCGCTTCCGCTGGTAGAATGGTGGTGACGGGCTAACCTCATTTTGCTTGTTGGATTTCTGGAGCTCAACGATCTGTGCGACCAAGGATGCACGCTTTTAATGGGCTTTAATGGTGGTGTAACTCGATACCAGTGTTTCCTCTCTTTGCCCCGAACCAACCGCAATAATTGTACCGCCACATGGAGAGTACTGTTCAAACAAGAGTAATTTAAATGCCAATTCCACGAGTTCCACAAAATCGACATTCAATTTCACAAAACTCGTTCGTCTTGATTGTCCCTCAAGTAGCTCTCTAATTTAGTTCGACCTCCACCTTACACAAACTTCATTAAGCGGTTGCTTGTGATAGATGAACCCCTGGGGTTGTAGCCTATCGTAACCTTTCTCATCTGCCTTTCTGTTCACACTCCAGAAATCACCCAGAAGAAGTTTTGTTGCATGGGATTGAGCGAAACCAAGAATATGACACCTTTTGTATGATATATTTCGTCTTTGTGTGTATTCTTATTCGACAGTTACTGCAGTTTTGTTTTGGAGCACTTGCTCCAGCTTGACGCGCCTGGAAAATCGTTGAACTCACACGATCAGTCGTACTGGTTTTGTGACGGAATATAATAATACGTACCAACTTTCCATCGTCCGGACCAAAAATCATTTCTGTCCAACGTCATAAATGAGATAAGTGCTAAAGGAAGACTAAGTTTGGTCTCTTGGATAGTGAAACAGTATCAGATTCTTCAAAGATCATAAATGCATTCTGTAGCTCAGTATTTTTCCAAAGTAATCGATGCTCTGAATATGCTGTCAATTCCAGTCATATGACGATCATGCCTGTCCTGAATCGTATGGTGATAGTTTGTCTCTGATCCATTTCAAGCGCAGCTTCTGTGATAAGATCAGATTTTATCTGACTCTCAAATCTACCGTGGGTTTGGACTCTTCCGTCGTCAACTCCGGGTAGATAACTCCCATTCGCCTTGAGTCCTTTTTGTTCACCACCCATTTGTCATCGATTTCTCATCAACTTCTGGAACCTATGTCAGTTTGTTTTAGTTTACTTATCTACCTGGTGTTCCTTTGTGGACATCGAGGTATTTTTTCCCGACAGTTAAACAATACTTCGTAGATCCATGCATGATTCGACCTCCTGATCCCTTTGTGGACATCGAGCTATTTTTCCCGACAGTCAAACAATACTTCATAGATCCATGCATGATTCGACCTCCTGATCCTTGCGGCTCGCTCCAGTATCCATTCTCTCTCAACAGGTTGGTCGTAAAAGGGAGGAAAGGATAGCTTAGCCTTGGCTGTTGCCATATCTAGGTGTGTTTTTCGTCAGAGGAGTCGTTACAGGGAGACATCTTAGATAGAGAGAATACTGCGTAACTTTCTGACACAAACGGGGAACTGACATGCTAGGACTAATCCCATACTAACCTGTTTATCACTTGCCGATTGGATTCATCTTAAGTAGTATCGACTTCATCGCATATGTATACTCCAACGCCAAGGCCACGGAAAACCAATTAACTGTCATTACAACCTCCTCAGAAAAATATTGTGCTCATGTTAATTTCAATTTTCATTAAAAGGTGAACCTTCTGGAATGACGATACTGTCTGTAAACGACTGTTAGCTCAACTTTCCACAAATGCACTCATTTGCATATCAATTTGGTTTTCACGGAAGATTCAACGGAATCTCTCGTTTATGCTATTCCTCAAGTGAATGTGCTGTACAAAGGTCGCTTCATGTTTCATTTGGCGCGACATTCGGGTTATCGTAGTATATTTTCATAAAGCAGACTACTCACAAGGTTGCTGAAAATTCGTCGAGGAGTTCTCAGCAACCTTGTGAGTAGTTTTTTCATGAACTACTAATTACAAAAATATCCGGTTTCCCTTTCCGACGGGATAGCTACTGTGTTTTCCAATATATTTTGTTTTGATTAGATATACTGCATTTCGCGCAATAGCAGCCTCTTTTTCCGCACCGCTTTTATTAACCTACATTGATTAGTCGACCAAATTTTAGAAATATGAATATGTGAACTGCCTCGTTGAATCGCGCTGTTCACCCCGTGCAATTCCAGCAATTTCCCCGCCCGATATTTCGTTGTGTATCCACATAGAGTTCGAATAGCCGAGCGGTTAAAACTCGAAACTACTGAACGGAGGTTTCGTGGTCAAACCCAGCCCCGGTTGTTCGGTTACTCCTGTCAATGGTTGGACAGCCTGACAGTATCTCGACCCTCGGACTTCCTTCGAGTCGCACGACAGCTACTCAAGGAAAGGGTTCGACGGCCGAGCGATTAC